AAATTAAAAGAACCTACTTAAACGGTTTCAGCAGTATATCCTGTTGCCTGTTGTGTATTTTTCTTCTCTTTTATATTCTTTATTTGAACACAAACTTGGAAAATCGTAGTTTCTAATTATCTGAGTTGTGCCTCCATTTTGTTTATGTACGTGGCCGGTCGGGGCGGGCAACAATTTTTCACTTGTTGCCCGGCGGGAAACATTGCATTTATCTGAAGTCACGTGACCACAAATCAGCCAATCACGTTTGGTGTTCACGCTAGCTATATAACAATACATCTTGCTTCCTTCATCCAGGCTTGGGCATACCAATTTTGAAATGATAAATCATGATGTTGTAGAACCGTTATTTATTGAAGGTGAATTATATTATTACATCTAATTTGTTCTCCAAATGAAGCGTACTGTATATAGTGTATATTTTCACAGCAAGAGCCTCTGAGCCATTACACAAGTATATACTATATGCAGAGGTCTGACTCCTTGTTGGCGACATATTCCTAGCCAGTACGCTATATAAGAAGAGACCGGACGGTTACGGCCAGTGATTACGACCGCTTACGGGCTTTTTCGCCTAGTCGAACCTCTGTATAATCTATACGCTGTACCCATTATTTAGAATCTTATCGCGTATTCTCCATATTCGTAGTTATCCTGTCTTACATGTATTTCCTTTTTTCTTAGTTGATCAAATTTATCATCTTGCGTCACCAGCTTCTCCTCCGCATTATATGTATAATCCAATAAAGGTGAGATCTGCTGCAGCACATTTTCGTTATCAAAATAAGTAAACCATGGAAATGCCGAGGCTGAGTCAAGAAATATGCGTGAAGACTTTAAAGTTATTCAAACTTTAAAGTTATTCAAACTCATATTAATTCCTCAAAACACAAAGGAATCTATCACCGGGGGTTACTTCGGGGAGTTAATTTAACTCAACACTTGCTACAAGTCGATTCGCATTGCAACCTGTCTCGTAGTGTAAGGAGTAAAACGAGTGAGAACGCTTGAAAATTCACATTTGGAGTTAAATTTGGTTTAAAATTACTCTACTTGGAGTTAAATTAACTTAGGTCTTTATCGAAGCACCTTTGGTGTTTCAAAGAAGATTCAGTTTTTGTGACGCAGGAATGCATGTAGCGCTTTGGGTCTAGGGGCAAAGTCCCTGAAAGTTTTTGTTTCAGCATCTTAGACTATGTTGCCGCCACATTGCTCGAATGTAACGCGTGGTTTGTGAATGATGTAATCTTATGTAAGCATTGCACAATACCAGAGAGGCCATGCATCGATGTAGTAGTATTCGAGCGTATTTTTTCTGCGGCTTTTTCACTCTTCCAGCTCAAGGTTGTGTAAATTTTAGATTGTAGTTCGAAAAATTTACTTTCTATTTGTTATTCTTCAATCATCCCATTTCATTTTGTGCTGATTTGATCGAAATGTTTATCAGAAATCCAAACAGGCATGCCATCTAAGCATGGTGGGCACAAAACACAAAATATACGATCACAGTGATACGATAGAGGTAGTTTTATAACATAAACATCAAACATGTCGTTTTATTTTGAAAAAAATCCATCTCAAATAACCCTGTTTCTCGGAATTTCAAGAACTAAAGCGTGTGAAAATGATTTTTTGCTGTTTTTTCTTTTCGTTGGGGGAAAGATTCAGTTTAAAAACTCAATCCAAGATTGAGTTTTGACTTCCGTTTACCGGAGGTCAGTTGGTGCTTGGATAAAGCCCTGTAACTCCCTGCATAGACAATCCAGAAGACATGTCTTCTGGATTGTCTATGCTCCCTGATATTAACAGTGCACGTTCAAAACTAACGGGGAGTCAGAAATTTTGCACTAGAAACAGTTCGATTTTTTCCGGGTACTAAATGGAACGCCCCTGCATGTATATCGTTGTCTAATTGCATGATACCACGACATAAAAGCGCTAAACTATCGCCTTGAATTTCCTTCGAAAGCTGTTCATTTATACCGGCGTATTAAAATATAAACACCTTAAAACCTCAAAGTATGTGGAAAAAATTTTCAACACACATTTCGGTATTTTATACGCTTTCAGGAGAAAATAAAACTTATCAAGGAAAAATTGTTAACTGTATACACGACATTTTAAAAAGCCCGCGCGAAGGCATTTGAATTTTCTGTGCAGGATTGTCTGATCCGGGTATTGGCCAATCAAATTGCGAGTTTTATTGTAGTTATTATATTATTATAAAACTTTTCCGTGTACACAGCTACAGGCGATGTAACTATGCTATATACTTTCATCTGCTTTTTGTAGACAATTAAAACTAATGCTATTGGAACACTAAATATGTTAGGTAAGTTAGTCAACACATACATATATGTGCATATACCTATAGGGTATTGTACCGTGATTATAAAGATGTTATTTTAAACTCATAAGTAGTTTATTTCTGTCTTTACGACTTTAGGCTTAGCAAAAAGAGTACACGCTCGCCTCTTATTGGCATCAACGTCTGAGATTTATGGAGGTACCGTTTTATATGCTTATATATAAGACCTATAGGCTTTGCAGTATAATCTTGAAACCGAACACTGAATAACAGTAGACCTTTTGAACAGAAAAGTTTGGGTGGGATTTTTTAAAATGACGACATTTATACACCCTGCTCTAATACCATTTCCGAAACCTATAATAACAATTATATACAGTATACCATACACCATGAGCTCGAGGCATACGATCTGAAGAAATTTATAAATTTATACTCCAATCTTATTTTATTCCTGCTCTTTGTTATTAATTCTTTAAAGAACTTGTGTTAATTTTAAACGAATTTAGAGTTTAACCATATTTTGTTAACCTGTATACAATGGCTGGGCATTCTTCTTTGTGGTTTTTATTCCTTCTACATTTTTGCTATACAAAAGTGATTAGAATCATGGGCATGGCTGGATTTTGTGGGGAAGGGTGGGCACAGGGCGCTTATATAGAGGGCGGTGAAACGGCTATAGGCGCGCCGATCGATGTGTGATGCAATGAACTGGTAACGAGTTTGTTGTGGTTATTATGGCGACGTTGTCTTATATAGCAAGGATAAATATGGCGGGAAAACTGAGCTGGAAGTTTTGACTGTTTTGTAGTCAAGTTTTGATGAAGAAATAGATATTGGGGGTAAAATTCCGATGTTATACGATAATTTAGTAGATTCTGCTATTGTATTTTCAGGTAATACTGCCAATATTTTAGAGTTTTTGCTCAAAACGCTTGCGAAAGCTTACGAACGGTTGCTTTCGCAAGCATAGAGATTATAAATAACACTAGAGGAGGCATCGAGTTTAAAAATTGAGAACGCAGCTAATGGGGGGCAAATTCAAGACCCGGATATAAAATCGTGCTCTCATTGGCTGATTTGAAACTCGTCACCAATGGGAACACGAATACACATCCGGGACTTGAATTTGCCCCCCAATAGTCGCGTTCCCTTTTTTTTTTACTGAATTAAGATTACGGTGCCTCCTCTAGTGTTATTTATAATCTCTATGTTCGCAAGAAGCATGACGTGAAAGGTTTTTAAAACTCTTCGGATGTACACGTATCGTTCACGTTCGATAGAATACAATTCACAATTAAATTTAGTCACTAGTTGATCTTTTCAGTTGAAAATCAAGAAATGCTCAACTTGAATTTGTATTTTTTTAACGAATCCTTACGAGAAGTTGTCTTGGCCAGCCGGTCAAAAAAAATCAAAGTTGGGACGAAACTTTTTCGACTATTGCGCTCAACAAACGTCCGAGCGAGTCGTATTTTGATTCAAAGGCCAAGAAGTAAAATATGTTTACGGCTCAGAATTACTTCAATTGAATGCCTTAAAAGTCGTAGAAAATTATTAACATAACCAAAAATCACGACATGGCCAAAATACAATTGTTGTTTATTTTTTTGCAGCGAAATAATGGTCTAATTAGGCAAAATTTAACACACAAAAATACCTCACTTTCCAACGCTGTGTATTCAATTGCTCAACTCCGAGTCTTATGAAACTTTTGGAGATAAGCACATAATTATAATCTTTACCATCAACTGAATTTCGAAGTTTGGACGACTTGATAACATGCCCAAATGCTGTTTTGAAAATTTCCCTTCATTGAAGTCATCAAAAGCCCGACTCATTATCCTCAATATTTCTTTCAAAATTCAACTATACAGGCCAAACAAGCATTCGTACGATACACTAGTTACTACTTCGTCGTTACAGTGCAAAAACATCCTCAAGAATTTCGTAGTTAATGAAAAAACAGCAAAAATACAACAGCAGGAAAAATCACGCTCCTTGTCAACTTTTGCCGAAAAGCACGCTCGTGCCAGTCCTTTTCCGCATCACACATCGATCAGCACGACATCAGCGCGTTTTACCGCCCTCTATATAAGCGCCCTGGGTGGGCACTTCCCCTGAGATCGTTTTGCACCTCTTCTGAGATTTTTTGCACCTCCCTTGAAATGTCATGCACCTTCCCGTGGGAAAGGTTAAATGGAGGATCAAAGTGAAAATTTGACAATTTTTTTTGTGTTGAATGCTTACTTTGCAAGAACTCTTTCTGTAAAATTGAAACAAAATCATCTCTATGTCATGCAAATAGAGACTTTACTTTGTAGTAATGTAATTAAGTAATGAAGTAATACTTTGTATAGTAATGAAGGGCAAAATTGGATGAGTCATACAGTCAAAATTCTTAAATACATGATACATATATACAGTACACACACCGTTGCGCCTCCCCTGAACTTTTTCCACCTCCCCCCACATTTCCACCAAAATCCGCCCTTGATTATAAATTGCTGTTTTCTCGTTCGTAAAACTTCGGTAGTTTTTGTTCCGCCACCTTGTTTTTGCTCTGTATATAAACTGATATTGCAAGTAGCTCAACCAATCAGTCGAATCAGATTGCAGAATAGCTCATAGACAGTGGATGGCTGTATTATAATAATAAAAAGTTAATTATATATACCAGATTATACGTCCCTTTAACACTAATAAATAGTATTTCTTCTTTCTTTTTTATATTTATTGGTCATCACCAGATCCTGAAGTAAGTGAATATGTTTTTGGGAATCAAAAATAGGAAGAACTCTATAAAATAGTATTCCAGTTAAACGTTTTCACACGTTCATGTATATTGCACGGAAAAGTTTAAATCCTTTTAAAAAATGACAGAATTTAGTTTTCTGTATAATTTAATGTGTGTTTGTTGAGATAATTAGTAGCAGTGGAAGCACGTATGAAAACGCTTATATATAACTAGAAAGGCAGCCTTTATTTACTTTGACGCCACGTTTGGTTTTTATTAGTTTTAAATATGTACCAACCAAAATAGCGAACACCTTACAATTAGTTCAGATCATGTGCAGTGACGTCACTTACAAGTGCTGAAAGTGCATTTAATTTAAAAAAAATACCGAATGCAAACATGTCAGGTGAGGTTGTGTTGCTATTAAGTTTGCATGTCGTTCAATATATTTTTATTCGACAATATTTGTGAGAACTGTATGCATGCTTCAGACTCACTAGAGCGAAATATTCCAGAACGCATCCGAAACGTTTCAGTACTGGACTCATGTTGCCGTAGAAATTTTGTATCCGGAAGCATTTTGAGTGCGAAGCAATTCGACGTGTAAACTGTCTCCAACCTTTTCTGCTGGCTATATAAAGTACTTTTTCACTTGCTAATTAGCTTTTTTGTGCGTATATTTCTTACATTTATTAACAGATAATATTCAGTTTATATTAATCCGAAAACTGGATTTCTACAAAGTTTTCGTTCGTTATTCGTCTAGAGTGTTTGCTCGTATATTCCGTATTTTCGTACCTAATTGTTGTAGTGTAAACAGTTTATGTATCAGAATTATATCGGAATACTCGAGTCCGCAAGCTCTCGCTCTAGTGTAAACGAGGTCTGAGATCTACCTCCTCCACAGGCCATGCTGCACCATGGGAAGGCACACACAATTTCTGCGGAATCTTGTTAAAGATTAGTCCTTAGTTTTTAATTAAATATTCACTAATAAATTTTAATAATTAAACATCGATTGTTTTCAGACAATCAATAGTACCTTTTTGCAAAATAGTATCTGTTGGGCATTTTCCCTTCAACAACGCGTTGAATGTTGTCTTTTTATATTCTGCCAGGTGCATCCACAACCTGAAACGTATTGGGGTCACGTGAACACAATTGGACCTAGAGCTTGCTATGACGAAGGCAAGAGAGTAGCAGAGACGATGTGTTATGCTTATGCTAGACAGGTAACTCACTGTTCATGATACAATTATTGGATGAGGCTGAGCATGATATCAAGATTTACCTGATTCAGACCAGGTGAATGTTGTCTGTCGAAGCGAATCTGAGGTGCATAACATCGACTGAGATCTAACTAATTATAGTCATGCGTAAGCCGAATGCAACAATCGTTTATTATACATTCAAAAATGGCGGCCGGTGAGAAAGGTGAAAAATTCCATATCATTTGAAGAGAAAATAATATAATTACGTACTCGTCGAAGATTGGTGCAAACTATTTCATGCCCTTTTTGGTGACCTCTCTGACAATAATTTGGACAGTTCCCCTTAATTAGTTTATAGAAGCAAATCTGCCACAAGCCATTTTGTTTGAGACTTGCAGGAACGAGAATATTAAAGTTTGAATGTATAATACAAACCTGCATCATGAATAGTATAAACATGCATATAAACATATAAACAAGATTTATGGACTTACAGTGCATGGCCTATATAACCGCCTATGTTGATGTTTATAAGAAGAATTTTCTGTAGATAGTAATCATACACTATATAATATATAGAAATCATACAACGCGACATGCGTTGTTGTCGTGCATTTTAATATTTCAAATAGAAGCAGATGGCGAGGATAAAAAATACGAAATGTCTTCACTTTTATATTTTAGTCTGATGTTGAAGTTCGTATCGCCAGAATCTTCAATACTTTTGGCACAAGAATGCATATGAATGACGGTAAGGTTCACAGCTCTCAATACAGTAAATATTTGTTGTCTAACAGGAGAATCTTTTGTATGTTACGTAACACGCGCTTAAAACTAATGAATATATTTTCTACTTGGTTATGACTATATTCAAATGTTTTAAACATCCTTTTTAAGCTCGTTTGCCGATTGAGGACGGTATCAATACATGTAGTCATAACCAACAACTGACATTATTCTATGATTTCTTTCTTGCACTTCACTTGTGGAATTAATATTAGAATATTAGGGTTTGTAATCCAAGTGAGAATATATACATTTTAAGACCTAACCAGGAACGACTGCGAAAAATGCAGCACAAGGTCCTCTGGTAGGAATTGAACCTACGGCCCTGCGATTCGCCCTAACATTCTAATATGACATTCTATTAGTTTTAGCGCGTGTTGCGTACCATACAAAAAATCTCCCCTTAAACATTCCCATCATAACATTGCACAATTTGATATCTTTATTAGGACGAGTTGTCAGCAATTTCATCCTGCAAGCACTGCAAGGAAAACCCATTACGGTAATATAATTGTGATGTTTGTGACAAATATGTAACAATAATTTATCAACCATGAAAGCATTGGTATAGGCTGTAAATTTGTAGGCTAATATATTGCATTAAATTAAAGGCCAAAAAGAACTAAGATTTCCAGCTAAAGGTTTTCAACGTAATTCCCCCTCCCATATTTCGCGACGTGTCTGCTACTGCAATGGTTCCTAGTGGGTATGACTAAAGGGAGAGTTGCCAACCGGAGAGTTATCTTGGAGAGTTAAGATTTCGGAAATTGAATCTTTCAGCAATTCAGGTTTTGGAAATACTTTCCCAGATCAGCCAATATAGGGCTTTACATTGGAAAGGTTTTCTGGTTCTATCTAATACGAAAACTGTATCTGAATGCTGGGCTTTGTTGATAATCCAAGTGCATGAGCATGTAATAATTTATTTACTCGTACTAAATTACTACTAGTTTCTACTAGCGTGAATTGTTAAAGCTGAAACTTGAGAAAAAAGTAAATTCACAATGATTTACTAAAATGTGGAAGTTTTTTTCAAAAAACTGACTCTCTTCATTGGCATTGCCACAATCATGAACGCGGTGAGTTATAAAAAATGATAACTCTCTAACATCTTCATAATGTTAACGAGAGAGAGAGTTACGTCAAACATAAGTTACATAACTCTCTCATGTTAGTTCAAGGAAACGTAGGGAGAGTTAAGAAATTGGGTGTGGTCGTTGGGGAAAGTGGGCGTGGTTCGAACATAACTCTCCGAAATCATAACTCTCCACTTCCTAACTCTCCGTTTAGCCGGTCCCGTTCCTAGTTAGCCCCAGTGAACTCGTTAAATATACTGGAACGATAACTCCGGGTAAAGCCAATAGAGCAATCTCTTGTAGGTATAAAACAATCCGATCGATGTTTTTCAATTTTTACACGTAAATGCTCATTTTTAGTCTGTGGTAAATACCCTACTTAAAAGCTAAAAACAAAATGAAAAGGTAAAATTGATGCAACTACAGTCGTATTATTCCATGTTAGTTCAAATCCCTTCGTGGACAGTCCAGAAAAACAAACGTTTGCTGTTGTTTCTCCTCGGGAGTTTTTCTTGTTTGCATTCGTCAGATTTGCTTTTTTATGAAGTGTTTCTAAAATTTGCTTATTCTGAAAGACCACTTGCCCTAGTTTCTTAGGCCGAAAAATTATGAAATTTTAACATGAAATGATGCCGACTTTTCGTACTGAATTCAGTGAATTTCCGCGTAGGGGCTTGGACCATACCTACAAGACGGGCTTCAAAAACACAGCCGGAGTCTTTATTCCAGTTTTTATACAATTCACTAGTTAGCTCTTGTGCCATAGATTCGTTGGTCTTGCAAAAACTTCTTAAATCTCATCAACATTGTAGATTTATGGTGAAGGACTTCAAACTAGATCATTTCAATATGTAAGGTAGGTACATTTTTTTAATGCCATCAACCTTTCCTTCAACATTGAAAGGAGGTAACGTAATTGGCCTAGAATTGGTAACGACGCCACCTTCAATTATCATGGTAGTCTAATGCTGTTCCGTGTAAATATGTACCGCGTGCTGGCTAATATACAAAATGGACCAATCCCATATTAATCAAAATTTTGATCTCAACAAGTCTAGACAAAATTCCATCACAGCATGAAAGAGCATCACAAAATTAGTAATATTCC